CCTCACGCTGTGCACGGCAGGCTCCCATGAGGTTTCCGTGCACCCTGCGTGGCCCCTCAGTGCTGCTGGCCTCCGAGGAACCCACTTGAGTGCAGCAGGGCCCCCAAGCTTCCTCTGGGCTCTGCCTCCTCCCTTCTCTCTGACTGGCCCGGATCCAGGCCCCTGGACTGTGTAAGGCCATGCTCACGTCAGCTGGTACATGCTCTCCCAGATGCCCCGTGCCCACTGCCCTGTGTGTCTCTGATGGGACTCAGTGACAGCCAGTCATTCTCAGGCCTGCGGCAGAAATCAAGGCGTGGCCAGCCGAGCAGGACAGCCAGGGTAGTTCAGAATCAGAATTTAAACCTGGCAGAGGTTGGCGAACTGGTAGAAATGTCCACGAGGGCACTCCTTTTGGTTCAGAATCGGATTTTTCTAGCATTTTACACAGCTTTGGTAAAGCTGCTGCTGCTTCTGAAGAAATCTTGTTTCTTGCCCGGCCGGTGTGGCTCAGTGGTTGACCAGGAGTCACCGGTTCGATTCCTGGTCAGGGTACACATCCAGGTTGTGGGCCAAATCCCCAGTGCGGGCATGCAGGAGGTAGCCAATCGATGTTCCCTCTCATTGATGTTTCTATCTCTCTCCCTCTCCCTTCCTCTCTCTAAAATCAAAAGGAAAAAAACGTTTTAAAATAAATGAATAGAATATACCTGAGAATCGTCAGGGTGGAGGCAAGTCCTTCCCAGGTGCATAGGGCTGCAAGGACCACAGCTTCATGAGAAACATGATGTAACATGTATAAGCAGTAGCTCGTGATGCTATGGAGACATTATTGTAAATAGCTAACATTTATTGAGTATTTAGTATATATTAGCCACTGTTCTAGGAGAAAATTTTATTTAAAAATGATTAAGGATTGTTGGAAATACTCCAGAGCCCTTGTAATTGAATGGGATTATGGGTATGAGTTTATAATTTTATCAACGGGGGTAGAGTGAGTCACGGCTAAGAAAAACCAGCAAATAAGAAGGCAGTTAGTAAAATTACAAGATGAATTCACTGAGGAGGAATTATTTGAATTATATTTTTGGTTTAATTAACACTTACTAAGTGTCTGCTGGGTAGCAGGCACTGTCAGGTAGTTTTACGTCTGCTGTTTTGTTTAATTACAGCGAGTCCTCCCCGTCCAGATCAGATTTCCCCTGGGTTTGCTGTGACTAATGAGCTATCCTCGCCCAGTTTTCCCGAGTCCTGTTTTACAGCTAGCTGGGGAGCCTTGGAAAACAGGTGTCCGGCCCCATCCTCAGAGCGTTTGTTTAATTGTGCAGGGTAGGGACCTGCAGCTGTCCCTTTTGGTTTTGGTTCATCCTTACCCAAGGATATTTTCCTGGTGATTTCTTTTTCTTCTTTTCCTTTTTTTAAAGATAGAGTGGAAGGTAGGGAGGAAGGGAGAGAGAGCAGAAGAAAAAACCAAAAAACATCGATGTGAGAGAGAGAGGCGTCGACTGGTTGCCTCCCAAGTAACTTGACCGGGGCTGGGGAGTAACCTGCAACCCAGGTGTGTGCCCTTGACTAGGAATCAAACCCGCGACCCTTTGGTCCTTGGACCAGTGCTCTAACTGCCGGGCCCGGGCATCAGTATCTTTAGATCTCTTCCCCCTTCCTTGGTGAATTCTGGTTAAGCCAGAGCACAAAGCACTCAGACTATTTGAGATGTCATTTCAACCTACAGAGACATGTTGACCCGAACTCTTCAGCAATGGCAACTATTGCGAACTTCAGGAGACAGGTTGCCAGCGGTGGAATAAGTGAAACACCTGCCCTCCTTTGTCTGTTTCCTACTGACTGGGATGTGGGAAGTGTCAGAAGAATTACAGGACGAAGTGGGCTAGAACATGCTGCCCAAACTGTCTCAGGCCCCGAGTTTCCAGGTGCATTTAATTTGTCGCTTGGGTTTTGCTGTGATGATATTTATCAGAAACATGCAATGACTTGCATTATAAGTGTTTTGTTTTTCCCAGAAAAAAGAACTCTACCTGCACTAGAGGAAATTCCTTTTAATGAAATGCACATGCACGGGGTAAAGATCTGTGCATAGAAGAATGTAACAGAACACAGGGAGCAAAGAGGAATTATTTGGGTGGAGGGCTTATAGCACGAAATGGCTTCTTTAAAAATCATCTTTGATGTCATAGTAAAATTGTTTCCTATCAAAACATTAAACAAACAAACAAACAAACAAACCATGAAGGAATTAAATGGTTTGGGGAGCTCAACTTTTCTTTGAAAAATTGTTACACCCTTAGATCACATAGTAGAGAATTAACCTAAAAAGTGATCCATAATCAAAAACATATCCAGTCCCACCCCCCAAAAATTTCCTGGTACTCTTCATAAATGGATCTGTATCGATGGGAACTTTTGGTCCTGCCTAGGAAATCCCAGGAGTCGTGACGGTGCGGTGTGATTGGTGGTCAGGTAAAGGAAAGTTGCGATCAGACATGCCAACATGAAGCATTTCCTCTAAGACAAGCAGTGTTCCGGTAAAGGTCCATGGACAGCCTTCCACTGAAGAAAGTGCCCTTTTAAGAACATTATATTGTGCCCATCTGGTGTGGCTGGAGCGTCATCCCATGGACTGAGAGGTCCCAGTTAGATTCCTGGTCAGGGCACATGCCAGGTTTCAGGCTCGATCCCCAGTAGGGGGCGTGCAGGAGGCAGCTGATCGATGTTTCTCTCTCTCTCTCCCTCCCTCCCTCTATAAAAAACAATAAACACACACACACACACTTATGTATATATATAAAAGAACATTATATTTCATTTGCTAAGAGACCTTGGGCAAGTCATATCATTCTTTTGGACTTGGGGTTATTCATTGGAATAATTAGGGGATTGTCAGTTTTCAGTGGCACAAGCAAGCCCCTTTTCCTGATTGGCCAGCACCTGTCCCCACCCAGTTGTACTGCTTTCTCCTTCTCCATTGTAATGGCCTGTCTGCCCGTGACTGCCCCACGAATAGTGAGGGCTCCTGGGTGGCTGGGCGGTTAATTCCTGGAATTCTCTCCACGGCCACGTGTGGCGCCTCACAGGGGCTCCAGAGACCATTCTTGAATGAATGAGTATCTCCACTTGCTATCAGCGGCTGCAGGGGCTCCGAGAGGTAAACTCGCCCAAGGTCACGGAGCTCTGAGACGAAGCAGAGGCCGGAGCCCGCGCTGGGTCTGAGGACGAGACAAGGTCAGATCCAGCTTCTAGAGCCGTAGTCCCAGGGTCTCTCTGCTCATGTCACGGAAGTGAGAAAAAGTCGCCCTTGGTTGGAGGTGACCACTTTCCTTCTAGGGGAGCCATACTCTGTCTCCTGGGGTTGTTACCTCTAAGTGATGTGAGGACCAGCTTACTCTTCACGTTCTTAAAGGCCTTTTGTGAGGGTGAGCTGGGGCACTTATTCTTATTTCTAGGACTTTTGCCCAAGGCCCTAAGATTTTCCCCCAGGAACAACTTCTCCCCATTTTCAGATTTGTAAGTGTGGTCAAAGAATCAGGAACAAAAACATCCTTTATGTAACTGGAAGACATAACAGGAGGAGTCAGGAGAACTGTAACCATGTTTCCGGGCATGTGTGTGTGTGTGTGTGTGTGTGTGTGTGTGTGTGCTCACTTGGGTGCATGGTGTATGTACACTCACCCATGCAGGGTGCGGGGTGTATACCTGAGACACAGCTAGTGAGTATACTTTGATGGTTGTTATATTAAATCCCCTCTTTCTCTGGCCGCTGAGCAGTTCTGTGATTATTATTTGAAAGGGAATTTCAAACCACATTCATGCAACAAGGGCAATGAAGAGAAAACCCGAAAGCAAAGCATTGCCGCCCAAAGCAGCAGAAGTGGTTGAAACGATCAGCCCATGGAGTTCTCCCAGGACAATCAGACCAACAGGGCCCTGGGTCTTTTGTGAATAAAACGAGGCAGGTTAAGTGGCTTCTGGTCGTTTCAACACCCGGTGAAAAGCAGAGAGAAAACGGCAGCTAGAGATTGTATCGAAGTGAAGGCCGGGAAAGGCGTCGTTTCTCCTCGCCGCAGTAGCAAGAGCATCTGGGTACTGCTGACTTGCTCCCGTCTTCACACTCAGTGCTGGTGAATGTGTTCAAATGGGATGTTAACTATGCTTTTCCTGAAAGCTCCCTTCGATTCATAAGTTTCTGTTAAAATCTCCCTGTAAGATTCGAGTGTGACAAGGGTGGTGCAATGTACATGCTTGTTTTCCTTTCTCTAGTGTGGAAACTTAAAACAGGAAGTGATTCAGGGGTAGAATGACTAACACCAGTTCAAAGTCAAGTTGAGCTGAGCATGTTGCTGGGACCAAGACTTGCTGCTGTGGCCCAAGGTTCCAGCATCCTTTATTTTTCATTTTATTTAAAAAATATATATTTTTTCCTTTATTGATTTTATAGAGAAAGGAAGTGAGAGGGAGAGAGAGATAGAAACATCAGTGAGAGAGAACATCGATTGGCTGCCTTCTGCATGCCCCCCACTGGTTTTGGGCCCACAACCTGGGCATGTGCCCTGACTGGGAATCGAACTGGCGACCTCTTGGTGCAGGGGGTCGACGCTCAACCACTAAGCCACACTGGCCAGGCAGGTTCCAGCATCCTTTAGCTTAGAATTCTGGCTGCACCATCTGTTTCTGGGACAGTGCAGTCCTGCCAAACTCTCCCTCGGTCATAGGAGTTTGGTTTGGGCTCTTCACTTACTGTGCAATCATCAGTAAGTTACTGCACTTCTCTGAATCTCCATTTCTTTGTTTGTGATGCATAAGACTGTTCTGAACGTTAAATGAGAAAAATGTTTGCCAAACATGGTCTGTGAGCTCCCAAGGTCTGAAGTGTTGGAATTTAGAGTTGCTCTTTCCAGGCTGTGTGTTTGGTGCGGGAACAGTAACGGTGGCGAGGGTTCACTGGGGGCTCATTGTGTGCTGAGGTCTGTTGTGTGCTGACTCCTTGCTGTGCCTGTGTTTTGCAGGAGAAGAAGCTGAAGCCTGGAGTCTGAGTCATTCCCCCAAGGTTACCAAGTTGGTAAGTGACAGAGTCTTATTTGTCTGGCCTCAGCCCCTGTGCTCTTACCCACGTCACCATGAAGAAAGGTTAGAGTGGATGGTGCTGTTAGGCCAGAACGTAGATTTCAGTTCAACAGAAATGAGAACTGCCTCTGCTGAAACCAGAATCCGCACGCTTGCTTTCATTCACTCCATGAATATTTATCGAGAACCTACCAGGTCATCAGGCCGAATGATTAATTTAATAAGAACTATAACTTTGGAGGGAAGAAGAGACTCCCAGCCTCCTATCATCAGACAAAATAACAGCTAACATTTATTGAATACTGTCAAGTAGCAGACCCCGTGCTAAGAGCTTTGTCTAAATCATCTTGTTTAAACTTGGCAACAACCCTAGAAAGTTGCGGTTTAAAGAAGAGAAGTAACTTGCCCAAGTTCACTCCACTAGTAAGTGGTTGGCTGAGTCTGTTTGGTCTACTGTCACAGAATACCATAGACTGGGGACAACAGAAACACCAGAAACGTATTCTCACAGTTCCAGAGGCTGCCAGGGCCAGGAGTCAAGGTGCTGACAGACTTGGCACCTGGGGAAGGCCCACTTCCTCGTGGATAGATGGCCATCTTTTTGCTATAACCTCACCTGGCAGAGGGTCGAGGAAGCTCTCTGGGTTCTCTTCTATGGGGCAGTAATTCCATTCATAATGCCTCCACCCCCGTGACCTTGCCACCTTTCAAAGTTCCCCCGTCCGACTGCCATCACATTTCAGCGTGTGGATTTTGCAGGAACACAAGTGGTCCATTGCAGGGATAGAGTCCGTATTCAGATCCACTCTGGCTGGAGAGCCAGTGATCTTAACTACTATAAACATATCCCTCTTGTTAGGCTCCTCATGGCAAAACCAACTCTGTGAGCCTGGGTGCCCTCTACCCACAACAGGGCAGTGTCCTTTTCTGCTCCGCTTTTCCTAGACTCCCTGGTCTCCTCACGCCCCTCCACTGGATGGACTGGCTTCTGGGCCTCTCCAGAAGCCAAAGAATGGAGATCCATTGATGATGAATGTGATGCAGCAGTCTCTCAGGCATGCTGTCAGCTTTTATTTTAATTGAGTTATAACTTATACGCTGGAACATGCATAAGTCATATTAATCATACAGCTTGATTAATTTTTAACGTCACACCCAGAGCAGGGGATACAATATTCCCATCTCTCCAGCAAGTTCCCTTGTGCCCCTTTGAGTTCGTCCTGACCCCAGAGCCAATCGCTGCTGAGACTTATCGAAGTCCTATCTCTGTCATATCAAAGATTCCTGAGCTTAACTCATCCAGATCCAAATATACTTGCTCAACAAAAACAAAACACAGTAGAGATAAAAATAACACCTTCGGTAGCGTGGGTGGTCCTGTCATTTCACCCAGCTGGCGTCTCTGTTGGAGCGAGCGTGAAAGAGACACAGACCTGCTGTTCCTTCTGCCAGGCTTTGTTCCCATAGCCCTTTAGAATGTGAGTGTCTATGCCATCGAGCGTGTGTCTCACATTTATAGATTTTAATTATCATACAACACAGCCCTGAAATCCAAGCCGGCGATTTCTTCTGGTGCTCAACCTACCGAAGAATCCAAATCCGATGTTGGAGAAAAATGGGCTGTGTTGGACCTAAATGGGAGGTGGTTTATCAGTCTCCATGGTGAGACCTTATTATGGGATTTTCAAGGAGAATTTTGACTCCTCTCAATTTTTATATTACATGCTGACTTTAGAGGCTTGAGTACGATGCAGTTGTAATGTGGAAAGAACTCAGATGATAAGTGGTTATTATAGATTTGGTGACTTGGAACTTTGTGGCAACATGGTGAGCTGATGTGCATGAGCCCTTCCTGTTATGAACACAGAGTTGACTGAAGTGTACGAATTATATCCTGGGGAGCTCATCAGAAAGGGAGGTCTGTGTGTCAAAAATGAAGAGAGAAATCTAAACGAAATGGTTCTAAATGAGCTTGAGAGCCTTGGGTGTTGAGATTATAATTCCACAGTGAGTCTAGAAATGAAAACTGGGCCCAAGGTGGAATTTTGTGCCCAGGAGCCTAAAACAATATACTTCTTCACGAAAAGGGGCTAGAAAAACTCCACTGTCTGGAGAAACAGAGAGGAAGGTTGCCTTGAGTGGAAAAACATCACTAGCAAGAAATTAAAAACCTGGGGCTATACCCTATGTGGCTGTGGAATCTCTGTTGTTATTGTCGATGAGATATCAGACCCTCAAGCTGAGAAATTAACGTAAAACTGGCCCAGTACTATGGAAATCCATAGCCCAAACACAAAATCACTCCATGGGGATGTTTTAACAACCCAGACTTAACAAGACTCCCACAGAAAGAACTATTTTCTCCTTAGATGAGTTCACAATTAAATAATGTGAACTGTTCAGTAAGTGAACTACTTTGAGTTGAAAATAATAGAACCATCTAAGGCTATAAAATAGTATATTTAAAATGATTAAAGACTAAAGGTGATATCAAAAATGTAAAGAAAGATGAAAAAAGAATAGGCTGTTTTTCATTGTTATGAAAAATAGTCATTGAAATTAAAATCCAACCAAAGGGTTAACTGACAGATTAGACATAGCTAAAGAGATAATTAGTGAACTGGAAGACAGTAGTAACAGTTTACATTTGTTAAGTTCTTAGTATGTGTCAGGTTCTGTTCTGTGTACTTGCATTTAATCCTTAGAACAAAATTATAAAGAAGGTATTATCCTTATCCTTATTTTATAGACAGGGACACTAAAGCTAGTAGTTTAAGCCACTTGCCTGAGGTCACACAGCTGGAATGTGACCCCAGACTGTCTAGTGTAGCCTAGAGTCTGTGTTTATAATGACTACACTGTGGAAAGAAAATGATCACGAATAAGTGATAAAGAGATGCAAATATGAGAGAATGGTAAAGAGTCATAGAGGAGAGAATGAGGGGGTGCTACTTAGGTCCAAACAGAGGGACTCAAGGAGAGGCAGTAGTCGAAGACCATGGTCAGATCCCTTCAGATCTTCTCTAGTTCTAGGTTCCAGAAATCTGTGACCATATTGAGGGTGGAAATTTCCAAGGAGAGTGACAGAACCTCAGTCCCCGCTGCAGCATGCATTGATGTGCTGATATGCTTGACAAAGGTCTCTCTGGAGGGGAAAAGAAGAAGACGTGATTTTAGCATTTGCTGACTTCTGTGGTATCTACTTGCAGCATGGCCAGTTTTAAGCTACCAGCACGGTGTCCCCGAGCACAGGACTGGGAGCAGGGTGCAGCGGCCGCTCTCGTGAGCTGTGGGAGCTGCTCCAAGCGCTGCAGTGACTCTCGTGGTCATTCTCTTCGGTCTCGGACTGTGCGTCCAAGTGTGGGATTTTCAGGAAGTAGTAATGTCATGTCTGATGTCACAGGGGCAGGAGGAAACAGTGGCATAAGCGTAGAGCTCTGTCCCCCGTTCTTCCCTTGTATTTATAACAATTTGGGGAGAATGTGGGCGGAGACACTGGCACACGTGCTGTATCACGGGTGACCGTGACAGTGGGTACAGCATCTTCGAAGGGCAGTTCGGCTTTGTCGGCGGCACCTCCAGGGCATGTGGCCTCGGACCCTGCAATTCCACCTTAAGGCCTTTATCTCCAAGTCCCGCCTGCCTGGTGCTCACTGCAGCACTGCTTGTGATGACCAGACCCAGGAAGCAGCTGAAATGTGTGTCACCTGGGAACTGATGGACTGAAACATGAATACCGGGCCAGTGTTTAAAATAGTAGGTCCTATGTTCTAAAAGGTAATGATCTCCAGGTTGCATTTTTTTTTTGTTTTTTTTTTATCCTTACCCGAGGACATTTTTTCCTATTTTTTGTTCAGATAGAGTAGGAGGGAGAGAGAGAGAGAAACATCGACGTAAAAGGGACACATTGAGTGGCTGCCACCCGCATGATCCAACCAGGGCTGGGGACAAACTGCAACCGAGGTACGTGCCCTTAGTGAGAACCGAACCCGGGTCTCCCTGGACTGCAGGCCGACGCTCTAACCGCTGAGCCAAACCGGCCAGGGCCAGGTTGCATTTTTAAGTTTAAAAAAGGCAATACGCATATAAGTGTATGCGGTATACTCCTATTTGTGAAAAAACAGAGGGAGGTGTAAATGCTTGCCGCACCCACCCACACGCACACACGTGCCTGGCTGTGCATGGACTTGCTGGAAAGAACCAAGAAGGAGGGTGGTTGTGGGGATGCTGTTTACCTCTTTGGGGGAAAAAGGATTGCGGGTCTAAGGTGGAAGATATCTTACTGTATATCCTTTTGTAGTCTTCTGAATTTTTAAACTGAAGCACATAGTACTTTTTCTGTTAAAAACTAACTAGTTAGCAAAAAACTGGACTTTGGGAGCTTTCAATATGAAAGCCCTTCTTTTATTTATTTATTTTTTTAATTTATTTTTTCACCTTTATTGATTTTAGAGTGAGGAAGGGAGAGGGAGAGAGAGATAGAAACTTTGATGAGAGAGAACATCAATTAGCCGCCTCGTGCATGCCCCCCACTGGGGATCGGACCCACAACCTGGGCATGTGTCCTGACCAGGGATCGAACAGGTGACCTCTTGGTGCATGGGTCAATGCTCAACTGCTGAGCCACACCGGCTGGACGCCCTTCTTGTTTTTAGAGGAGACTGGCAGGTCTCCGTGACGTTGCTCATCTCCAGCATTTACTGAGCATAACACCAAGCGCCAGGTACTTCCAGTGTGGCTTGGTCTCGTCCTCACGCACCCATCCACTGTAGCCTCTCCATCCCTTGGCTCTGCCCAGACCCCTGTAAATTGCTCAGTCAGTGCATGAGAAATGATAATCCCATTTTCAGGAAGAGGGAAAGTCGAGTCTCTGCAAATCACGTGGCATGCAGGTAGAGAAAGTGGAATTCAACAGCAATCTTAAAAGTGCTTTAGAAACAGGAATAGCCTGGTTGCTTTTTAGAAATCCAAGTTCTTGGGAAGGCATCACAAGCC